CACAAGGCGGTCAGCGGGCACGTGGGCTCCCAGGGATGCTGGAAAACCTGGTGGGCGTGCTAACAAGACTCGGTTCTGTCAGGCGAGGTCCGTATGCGGCAGCACCACACTGGGTGAGGGAGAGAGGAGCCAGCACCACGTGTCCCAGGTCGGGGTCGGGGTTCAGAGAAGCAGGTCTGGAGAGACCCCCTCCAACAGGGACATGGGATGTGCTGAGAGGGCAGAGGGCAGAGGCACAGAGGGCCCCTCCCTGCCGGCATCATGGGCTTTGGCACATGGCTTTGGGGCACCAGCACTGGGCGCTGCTGTTTCTCTGCTGCCCCCTGGTGTGCACCGAGAGAAAGGCAGCAGCCACGCCTGGGGATCCTGGTGTCAAACCCATGTCCCTCATCTTCTGTAACTGGAAGGATGACCAGAGGCCTTGCTCCGTCTTCTGACAGATGACCCTGTGCTTCTTCTGTGCCTTTAACGGCGTCTCTATGGCCTGGCAGCCAGGCCGGTCCTGTCCCCTCCAGGCTCCAACTCAGGACACAGTAGGGCAGTGATGGCGAACCTATGACACGCGTGTCAAAGGTGACACGCCAACTCATTGTTTTGGTTGATTTTTCTTTGTTAAATGGCATTTAAATATATAAAATAAATATCAGAAATATAAATCTTTGTTTTACTATGGTTGCAAATATCAAAAAATTTCTATATGTGACACGGCACCAGAGTTAAGTTAGGGTTTTTCAAAATGCTGACACGCCGAGCTCAAAAGGTTCGCCATCACTGCAGTAGGGCCTGGCTATAAGGAGACCACAGAGCCCCGGGCAGCTCCAGGCCCACCTGCCGGCCTGAGAAGGAAGGCCTCTTCACACACAGCCAGGAAGCTGGTCCCAGACCCAGATTCTGTCCCTCACCCCGTCTTGGCGGCCACAAGACCTTTCCCCGCTCCTGGGGTTCAGACATGCATCTCACTGCCCCCCACCCCCCCGCCATCCTGTCTCTAGGCCAGTCCTCAGCCCACCTTCCTTAGGCCACTGCTGAGTCCCAGCACTGGTGCCTCCCCTCCCCTCAGGCTCCCTGACCCCCAAGTGAGCAGCTCACTTGTGTTCCTCTGACCCCATGTGTTACATCCATGGTGCCTCCAACTCTAAACATGATCTCGCTGAGGCCAAACCCTCAGTGCCCTCTCTCCCTCCCTCCCTCCCTCCCTCTCCCCCTTCCTCCCTCTCTGTCCTCCTTCCCTTCTTTCTCCCTCACCCGCCCCCAGGGGTTTGCACTTGTGAGTTGAGTAAATGAACCAGAGACCTACAGACCAACCAGTCCTTGCCCTTAGAAGGTCACCCCAGTTCAGCAAGCGTCAGTGGGTGCCCCGAGTTCACGGGAGCTGGGCATGTGGTCCCGGGGAGACACAGACAGGAGTCTTGCTCCCCCGGGGGCTCCAGGCATCCGGCGCTGTGATCTCGGGACCACAGAGCTCACAGCGGCTCAGGAGGTGCTGAAGCGAGGCCTGAGCAGGGCCGGGCGGTGTCTGTCGGGCACCTGGGTGGCACAGGCTGAAGGAGGGACACCGGGGAGTCCCAGGGACACCCCGTGAGGGAGATGACCACAGGCCTGCCCTGCTGGAGTGACAAGGTTCCAGGCGTGGCCTCACGGGCTCTGTGTTGTCACAGCTGCTCACCAAAGACGCGAAGCAGAGGCTGGGCTGTCAGGAGGAGGGGGCCGCGGAGGTCAAGAGGCACCCCTTCTTCAGGAACATGAACTTCAAGCGCTTGGAAGCCGGGATGTTGGACCCGCCCTTCATTCCAGATGTGAGTAGCTCCTCCAGCCCAGACTGAGCCTGTGCCCTGTTCCCAGCCTGGCACTCACCGAATGTCGGTTCCGGACCTCGATCCCGGGGCCGAGGAGACCCGTGGGCAGGCGGCGGCCTCTGCCCTCCGGTGACAGACATGTCACCCGGGCTGGGGGCCCTGCATCCATCCTGGAGTCACCTCCTCCATGAAGTCCTCGTCCTCAGACCTACAGGCCCCAGAGCCCCAGGAAGGCTCAGTCCCAGCTTTGAGTTCCTGGAGGGGAAGGCCTGCCTGCGTCGTCTCTGTGGGCCTCAGCAGAGAGCAGCCCAGTGCGTGGCTGGGGGGAGTGAGATAAAGATATTACCGCCAGATGATGATATCACGCGCGCTTACAGCCCAGGCGCAGGCGCTCCCATAGCCCGGCCTGCAGGTGGGAGACAGGCCCGTGGGACGTGGGACTTTTCCAAATTCCTAAGCACCAGCGCTGGGACCCAGAAGGCCCGTCTGGCTGCAGAGCCTGGTGCCGAGCCCTTTGGTGCCCCGTAATGTGAGAGGGGGTTGGGGAGGCCCCCTGGGAGGTGTCCGTGGCTGCGTGTTCCTCGGGCCTGGGAACCAGCATTCGCTCTCTATGGCGGGGCCCAGTGTCCCAAACAGAAAGGACTTTGGAAACTTTCCCCGTCCCAGCCCTGGGCCTCTGGGGAACAAAGACTGTGTGACGGAGGAGTGGGCTCCGGGGTGGGGTGACCGGCACGTGCGAGGCCTGAGGGCAGCAGGGCCCTGGACGCTCCGAGCTCCCGTTCCCCGGCCGGGATCCCGTTGGCAGATCCGAGAGAGGGCAGCCCAGGTTCCCGGGTGGGGGTGGGGGGCTCAGGCAGACGCCCCCTGTTTCCCTCATCAAAGCCCCAAGGCTGGCTGGGGACGGTGGCTCCTGGG